ATTCTCGTGACCATTCAAATTAGTTTTTCTCAATGCCTAATAAAAGAGCATCACCATCTATATTTACTGACTGCCCATTAAATGCAAGGCACTATTTTAAAACAGCTTTTGAGATCAACTCACTAATCTTCATAGCAACCTCATAAGGTGGGCAATATTATCAGTAGTTTACACAAGGAAAATATCTTGCCCACACAAATAAGCAGAGGAGTCAGTATAAAAACCTACATCCTATGTTTTAACCTTGATACTACATTATTTTTTACTGAATTCTATTTTCCAGCATCCATGGCAAACAAGGTGTGCGCTGTCATGGGACCCACATTTTAGTCAATGAGCAGAATGAAGAGATAAATGAAAGGGAGAAGCAACTCATTATAGACTATTTTAAAAGACCAGGAAGAAAATAGCATATTATAATAGAAAGACAGGTAGACGGTGAAAGAAGGCCTCCCTGAGAAAAAATGACTGAAATCTGCAAGATGAGAAAGGGGCCACACCATCTCTGTAACAAGAAGAGGTAGCCCAGATAACTCTTGTGTTTACTAGGTTATGAAAAGTCCAAATGGCATTAGGCTGATCATCATACTAAAACCAAAGTTCTATTACCAAATCTCTATTATTTGATAGTGCCCTGATTAGGTTTTGGTTGGTTTATTTTTTCTGGGGTTGTTTGTTTGTTTTGTTTTGTTTTGTTTTTGTCAAGTTGCCACAGCTAGAATTACGAATTGGGAAGAGGAACTTCAATTGAGAAAATGCCTCTAACTGCTGGGTTTGTAGTTAATCAAGTCTGTACATCATGTTCTTCACTAATGATTAACGTGTGAGGGCCCAGTCCACTGTGGGTGGTGCTATCACTGGGAAGGTGGTCCTGGGTTGTATAAGAAAGCAGACTGAGCAAGCCATGGGAAGCAAACTAGTAAGCAGTATTACAATCTCTGTGTTAGTCCCCACCTCCGGATTCCCATTTCCTACTCTGACTTATCTTCATGATCAACTGCAAGCTGTAAGGGTAAAATAAACCCTTTCATCACAAGTTGTTTTTGTTCAGTGTCTTTATCATAGCAATGGAAAGTAAATTAAAACAAACAGGTCATAGGATGATCTAACTAGAATCCTTAGAAGAAAAGAGACACCAAATACATTCGTCTTCATTCTCAATCTTTCTTGCTCTCTCCTCCCCACATCCTTCAAATCTCCCACTCCCAAAATGCACACAGAAGTTTTCAGGAAGCCAGGGAGAAATGCCTGACAGCACCTTTATCTTAGACTTCTAGCATCCAAAACTGTGAGGGAAAACGTTTCTGTTGTTTAAGCCAATTATATTTTGGGGGCAACCCAGGCAAACTGACTTGGGTGGGAAAGACCTAGGTCTTGTGTAGGAACTGACAGAACAGTTGGAATAGAGAGAATGTTTTAAGACTCTGAAGCCCACAGGCAGCAAGGGGCAAGTAATTCTGAAATAAGACAAAGAAAGCAAACTGCTCCTGGCAGAGGTCGAAACTTGTTGTGAAATGGATTTAAGAATATACAGTGTCAGATTGTTTTCTTCAGTGGCAAGAGGTCATTAACATATAATTACTAGGTGCTACTAGTAAGATCATCTTGTAATATACAAATCAACCTCACAAAACAAGGAACTAAATTCATATAAAATGTTAACTGTGCTCTAGTGAAAATATTTACTATAGAACTCCAAAAAACTAAGATTTTTGTCTTTTGGGTTTTGTTTCATTGTGTATCCCTAGTTAATCTGGAGCTTGCTATACAGATCTGGCTGTGTTAGAACTCTCAGAGATTCTCCAGATTCTGCCTCCCCTACGTGCTGAGATTAAAGGTGTGCGTCTGATTGTATGTACGGCACCATAAGCATGTAGGTACCAACAGAGGGCATTGGATAACCTGTAACTATAGTAACAAGCAGCGGGAAGAACTGTTGTGGAAGAACAGTAAGTGCTCTTAACTACTGAGCCATACCCTAGCCCATGAGACTTTTTTTTTTAAGTTTTTATACCACTAAAGACATTTCTAATCTAATACTGGAAATAGTAAATATGCAGTGAGCAAATGTGCAAAGAACACTTCTGGATAATTTAAAATGTACAAATAAACCAAACATCAGTCCTAGAGCTAAGAACCACAACAAAAGATAAAATTCCCTACCTCATAAGCTAAGGTATCTATTTATAGGAGGCATTTTATATACCACTAAGGGAGAAATAATAGCAAGTAAATTGTGACAACAGTTCAAACAGGTCTTAATTCTAGAATTATTAAAATGTAGGGAAATGTATACCAGTTTGTTTGTTTAGACAGGGTCTCACTATGCAGCCTAGGTGAGCCTGGAACTGAATGTGCACAACAGGTTATCTCAAATTGCTGATTCTCCTGCCTCAGCCGTCTCAGTGCTAAAATGTAAGCTTATATCACCACATTTTGCTTGAAAAAAAAAATACATGTTAAATAGCTAAGAAAGAATATGAAAATAAATAAATGCAGAACATTGAAGTCACATGAAAGAGTGCATAGAATAGATCAAATATATACAGGTTATAAGAAGTACTTTATAGAGTGTCACATTGAAGCTAATTTGAAAGCTAAGTAGAAATCAGAAATGCAGATGCCGAGAGAAGGAATATTTTCATAAAGAGAAATTATAAGAAAAAATAGCAATAAAATAAGATATTGGTAGAGAGAAATATTTTCAGAAAAATAGCCAGAGTAGTCAGGATTAAGAGAAGCTGTAAAGAGGCTGAAATTGACACAGAAACTTGAGGAATGGCCCCCAAACTATTTATTTCAACTCAATGTGTCTTAAGAGTCATAATGGACATAAATGATATGGCTCTAACAATGATTCTCAACTGTGAGATCGTGGTAAAAGAGATTAACTCTACTGGGAGTAGGACCTGAAAAAGCCTTCTAAAAAATGGTACATTCCTTCCACTCCACCTTTGAGAATCACTGCAGTGGGAAAACAAAAGTCTGAGTCACTGACTGAATTACAAATCAAGAAACGTAATGGAGTTAAAACTATAGGAAGATGAAGGGCAGAAGAGAAGGCACAGATAATAACCTCAAGCAAGGACAGTGCATTCTAAAATGTCAGTAGGTCATTCCCGTGACAGCCAACTGGCATCCACAATCACCAAGGATGACGAAGTTGCAGTCTGAACAAAAAGAGATGTGACTATCATTCAGGTAGTAAAGCCATAACGTGGATGGAGATCCAGAATGGACATGAAAGAACGTACCACAAAGGCAATTTTCTGAAGTTGAAATAAACATATTGATCTGCCTCATCACTAGTTTTTTTTTTTTTAAAGACTTATTTAATATGAATACAGAGTTCTGCCTGCATGTATGCCTGCAGGCCAGAAGGGGGCACTAGATCTCATTACAGATGGTTGTGAGCCACCATGTGGTTGCTGGGAATTGAACTCAAGACCTCTGGAAGAGCAGCCAATGCTCTTAACCTCTGAGCCATCTCTCCAGCCCTCATCACCAGTTTTAGTGAAATAACAACACTGCAACCCAAAGTTCCTTAGACCACAACAAGCATGCATACAGCAAGAGCACTGAACGAATTTCACAGCTGCCTACTATGTGCATCTACTGTAAACGGAGTAAAAATCAAGTCTACAACTTGGAAAGAGAATGAGCAGCTTTGAAGAGACAATTACAAGGACACTTAGTGTTTCAATTAGTCAAACACCCACAGTCATACAGTTTGAAAGAAGAATAATTACAGCTATATCATAGTATCAAAGTATTTTCACTTAAAAAAGGGTTTAATAATAATCTAAAATCAATTTCTTTCTTTTTTTTTTTTTTGGGTTTTCGAGACAGGGTTTCTCTGTGTAACTTTGGAGCCTCTCCTGGAACTCACTCTGTAGCCCAGGCTGGCCTCGAACTCACAGAAATCCATCCACCTGGCTCTGCCTCCCAAGTGCTGGGATTAACGGCGTGTGCCACCACCGCCCGGCTAAAATCAATTTCTTAATTATGTCATTTTTCCAAGTATTTTAAAAGCCAATAAGCAATATCATCCTATATGTGAAAGTGTGACTTTCCCCGTTTTTATTAATATACATTAGCTGTACAGAACATGAGTTTCGTTACGACACTTTCCTAACAGCACTTCATATAGCATACTCTATCACATTCTCCCTCATTGCCCTCTTTTGCCCGACACCTTCCCCCTTCCACCGGTTCCCTTCTTCTCCCAAAATAATCGGCCTCTGACAGTTGTGATTTTAAGTCACATGGGAAGAAATGTCCAGTTTCCTGGTGCTGTAAATATACCAGCTGAATTAATCAAAGTCTATTCATTCTGACTGATATTTTCTGACAAAGTTCCTTCGAGAGTAAGGGCTTGAGAAGAGTAGAGAGAAGGGATGGATGAGAGAAATGAATAAAGTAAACAGAGAGGCAAGAGAAGGATCAGAAGTGACCCAGCAGAACTCACTGCAGCATAAACTTGGAGATCATCATAGTCGCCCAGAACAGTCCCTGAGCAACACCTTTTTTTTTTTCCCCCTGGAAACTAGGCATGATACTGGTGCCCAAAGACCATACAGGCTAAAAACTGGATGTATGTGGAAGTCACCCCAGAACAGTCCCTGAGCAACACCTTTTTTTTTTTCCCCCTGGAAACTAGGCATGATACTGGTGCCCAAAGACCATACAGGCTAACAACTGGATGTATGTGGAAGTCACAGGAATCTGAGAGGGAAGAAACAGACCACCTGTTAAACAAAGCAAAGAATACACACTCTGCAACCTGTGAAAGGATCCGGCAAAGTAAATCAGTCATTCATGTAGCGTGTTAGCAGCCTGGACAAACATTTCTTCTGCTATCACTCTGACTGCTGCTGTTTCATAAGCAAATTCCAAGGAAAAAGAAAAAGAAAACCAAAGTAGTCAAATACTTTTCCAAAGCCACAGTATAAGGTCAAATTTACACACAGCAACATTTTTTTAAAAGAAATGTGAAATACCTCAGTCTGACCTTCATGTGCACTGGTCTCATGAGTAACTCGAATAGCCTGTAATAAGAATATAAACTATTTACAAAAAAATAAAACAGCTATATCTACCTTTTAAATGAAAATAGTAACAAAGCTCAATTTTTACCACCTAAAATCCTGTAATGAGGCGGGAAACTGGAAGAACTTTAGGAGCAGTTTAGCACTAAACCTTTCAGAATTATATCTGGATAGGCAAATGAGCCACTGTCCTTTCTACCCACAAATCTCTTAAGCGTTAGGAAACTGACTAGCTCACAGTTTCTAATTTGCAAAGTGCAAGGAAAGGGTCAAATAGCTTCCTTAACTGTTAGAGGCCACACTTAACACTTTATTCCCTTGAGACCTGGAATAAAGTGAGCAGCTCACAGACAGAAACTGAAGAAGCTTATCTCATCTGTCTCTCCAAGGTGCATGCTCCTGCAGCTCTGGCTGAATTTATGCTTACTCATGCATTTCAGTCGGCAATTTAAAAATGTGGTGCAAAAGGCATGCGTTTATGAGAAGCTAGGGAATTCAGTTATCTGAACTTAATGCTCTAATCATACCCACTATTATTAAAGATGCAGAGAAATGGACACACTAGAAAACCTGGGGTGAAAGTATAACTGTTATATATAGCAATTTGGTGATAAGTATTAAAGCCATAAAGACATGCAAACTGATCAGCAATTTCTCTTCTAGGATAACTATGTTGATACATTTAATGTATGTGATTATATGAAATTAAGGATGGTTCTAAAACCTCAGACACAGTAATATACATTTTCAATAATTTTAAGTGGTGAAAAAGAGAGAGAAAACTCTTAGATTCCAAACATCATTTTACTGGTTAAATATACTATACAATGGAAAGCTACTCAGCCATTAGAATAATAATGTTAAATATATACTTACTGGTGTTAATACGTTTGTGATAAGTGAAAAAAGCAAGTTATAAAACAGTATTACAGTGTGATCAAATTTTTAAAAAATATTGTGTATATACATACATGTTCCCTATAAAAATATCAATGATAGCTACCTTTCACTGGTGGAATTATTGGCAACTGTCATGTTATTTTACTTTTATGCAAAATAAGGATTTCTTATGAAATTTCCAGGTTTTTAAAACTTAAAGCAACTAAAGTATTTTGGAACACTAAACACTATAATAAATGTATATCATATTGCTTTTCTAATTTCAAAGAACATCATCTATTGATAGTACTAAAAGACAAAAATCCTTCGGAAAAAAATAATTTCAAAACTAATAAATGCTTAGAACAATCATTTCAAACTGGATTAGAGAGTAAGAGTACAGTTATTAATTTGCAAACTATATATATTTGCTCATTCTGCCCTGGACACAGAACTGTCAACTGAACAACATATACATATATATTTCATGTATAGTTACCTGAAAAAAACAAAAGCCCTTGTAATGGATATGATTTTTCCCCCAACTATAGTTTTAAGACAAACCACTAAGAGAACCTACAATCCTGTAACGCTGCCCAGGGATGAGGTCAAGACAGAAAGAAGGTACTGACATCATAGTTCTCCAGGTATTTGGCTCTTTCTTCAGGACTCATTGACACAGACTCCTCTAGGAATTTTTTCAATGTTGATCCAGATTCTGAGAATGTCAAAATGATTAAAATTTTAAGTTTAATTACAGAAAAAACTAACAATAAGAAGTAGTACAGTATTTTCTTAGGTAAAAATCTAAGACTCTTGGGATAAATAATAAAGTCAAATGTTCTTTGGCTGAGCCTGTTCATCAACAATATGAGAAAATGGGAAGGATTAATATCCTCTTCTCCTGGCTTCATGTATATTCCCATAACAAAAGAAGAGATGCATTGCTTTATAGTTTGAGAGAGTTAGAGCACCCCCTACTGTTCAATCAAGTTAACACATCTGAAGGGAAAAGCGGACGGAGAATGACTTACCAAAGTGCATCTTGTCTTTGTTGTTTGCAATGGCGTGGATTAGTCCAATCGTCCCACAGGCATTGCTGATGGTTTGCTTCATGAAATACACTGATGATGTAACATCTTGTCCTCGAGATTTTATTTTTTCTTCCTCTTCTGTCCTGAACACTTCATACTATTGGGGGAAAAGTCAATAGTCCACATGCAAAAACCACACACTAAAAAGAACACTCGAGTTTGTAAAGGATATGAAATGATGAGATTTAGATTAAATAAGAAAAGCTTTAAGGTAAGATCATAACATTATCACCTACCAGATTGACAAAAGACAATGGAAACTGTGTCAATAAAGACATGAGAAAAAGGACAGTCTTGAATTATTTACTTTGCTCGTTGCTTACTTCCAGACAAGGGTTTCCCTGTGTTGTCCAGGTTGGTCTGGAACTTCTGAGCTCAAATGATTCTCCTGCCTCAGCCTTTCAAGCATGGGCTGCAGGCATGTTCGATGACACTTAGCATCATATGCCATTGTTAAAAGTAGTCATTGGTACAACCATAGTAGAAGGCACATAGGAATCTGCATTAACACTTTCAATGTGCACACCATCTAACAAACAATTACCTTTGCAATAGCTTGGTTTAAAAAATAATCTTCAAATGTACAACCAGCAATGGGAGTGTAAGTCCACGGTAGTGCTGGCCTAGCATGCATGAAGCCACAGGTTCAATCCCCAGCAACACGGACAGAGACACACAGACACACACACTGAATAAAACAAACAAGTATATCTACATATTTTATTTTAAAAACTGAGTGAGAAGGAGAAAGGAAAGCAGAAAGATGACTGCTTCTGTTAACTGAGGGTCTACAATTTTGAGAGGCCAAGAGAGCAGAGGTTAGCAAAGTGCAGAGCACACAGCTAAACCTGCCCACTCCCGTTTTCCTGAAGTAAAATTTTATTAATGTACTGATATGGCTATCTGTCTATAGTTGAGAAGTTAGAGACTTCGATGCCTACAGTAAAGCCAAAATTGTTATCATTCGGTCTTTTACAGAAGTCTTTCACAGAGTCTTTTTCTGATCTGCATAATAAAGGATACAAATGATATCTACAGAAACCCAGAGTTTAAAAGTGATTCTGGGGCCATCTGGAGAGATGGCTCTGAAGTTAAGAGCACTTCCTGTTCTTCCAGAGTTCTGGGTTTAATTCAGAGAGCCCATAAGGGGGCTCCTAAGTGGCTGTAACTCCAGTTCCAGAAGTTCGAATGCCCTCTTCTGGCTTCCTTGGGCACTGCACATGCATGCATACAGGCAAAATACTTAACACACATAAAATAAAAATAATCTAAAAAATAGTAAGTACTTCTGAGAACAAATGTATCTATGCTTAAAAATAATTTATGAATGTATTTCTAAATCAAAGTTTTAAGCAATATCTTCGGGTGCCAAGATTAATTCACTCATTTAAACTGGTTTTTTAAAAAAGCTGAGTATATCAGGGTCTCAATGTTGAAGTGTTTATGTAGTTCTACCATTTAGTTTGCTATTTAATGCTAATGCTGACAAAGCAAAATAAGGACTGGTAACTTCTAAAGATTTAATATTAAGGGGGAAAGCCTAAAATGACATAAGGTAGAAGAGCAACAAAAATCACCAAGGAAAGGGGAAAAACACTAACAACCAAGTACAAAGACACAAATATCATATATATTAAACATATAACCTCTTTACCTATAATCCCCTGGCTGGTGAGTGAGAATAAGAACACACTTGAAACACCATTCCTGACTTTATAGAAATGTACTAAAGTACCCAGGACAGTTCCACTGGTGTTTGAATAAGTATTTTCAACTCCATATTAAATTTCCAAATTCAGAGTCACAGACTGAAATACTTTGTATTTCCCAAACATGACTCTGTACTAGACAACCTCTCAGTGTTTGTAATTTGTCACTTTTGATAAGAAACGTGATCTACCAAATTAGGAGAGACACCAAAAAGTGGTAAATGCCTCTTATATAAGTACACATCCATATTGATATAAATTACCTACTTTTATAAGTACAAACACTTTAAAACTGTGTGTGGAAGGGGTTTTTATTTGCTGCCTGTTTTTTCTTCCTTTTCCCGTTTTCATTTTGGTGGTGCTGGCAATGAAAACTGTGTTCTTGCTAGTAATAAGTCACTGGTGTTGATTAGGACTGCATGCTTTTTAAATGCAGATGACTCACTAAAGGAAGAAGACAGGAGCTAACTCATTTTTGCCAAAAAAGTAGATCATAAAAATCACTAGTTTCAGAAATTCCGATTCAAACAACAGCTCATTCTGCCCCCACACGAGGTCAGTGCATTCTGACCTCACATAGCATCGCCTAAGAAAGCCCAACTATTTCAAGCATGCTGACACACGCCTATAATGTCAGCCTTTTGTGTCATGCACCACAGCACTATATCAGGGCATTAAAAGACCCCAGATAGAATTCTAGCATCAAGAAGCCAAGGCAGGATTACAAAATAGAGGCTAACCCGGGACTACATACTGGGATCCCGTTTGAAAATAACAACAACAAAAACCCTAAAAATATAAGAAGCCGCAGCTATAAACAAGTGACTTTTTTTTTTTTTAATGGCTCATTACTCCTGGAGTCTGAGGATCGATCTCTACTGCTTATTTAGTAATCAAAAAAGATGACAACACTGGGCTAATGCAGTGAGGTTTTGTCTTAACTCTCCCACCAGTTTCAGATCAAGCAAAACCCATCACTAAATTTGTTTGATCTAAAACTAGTAATTTAAGAAACTCCTACAGAGACCATGTATGCGGTGCACACCTTAATCCCACCACTCTGGAGGCAGAAGCAGGGAATCTGTGAGCTCAAGGTCAGTCTGTTCTAAGTGAATTCTAAGTCAGCTAGGACTACATAGTGAGACCCTGTTTCAAAAAGCAGAAGAAAAAAGAAAAAGAAAGAAAAATCCTGACTAAATTTCTATGACTGTTACAAGTATGGAGAAAACAGTTTATTGAGTAATTTGTTTTGTAGAGCCCTCACAGAGGAGGCAGAAGACTTTCAGTGTTATTTATCCTCAGGGCAACTATGGATTTGTGTCACCAAGCAGCAACTCACTGCATTTCGGTGACCTAGGCAGATCTGTCCTCAGAGCAGCATGACTTGAGCGTGCACCTGTCAATTCATCCACATCTCAGTTTTCCCACACTGCCACAAGCACGTCTCCATTTTCACAAGGCCCAAGTTCATCTTAGTGTTCCAAGGTTAAAGTCAGACTACAAGGATGTTCTAAACTGCACTTAACGTTCCAACTCTACTCCATGCACACTGAAATGTAGAGACTAGTATTTCAAAACAGACCTAAGGCAGCTATTTTTCATGCTCAGTATATTCTGTCAATTAAACTGTATCTAAGCTTAGCAATGTTCCTCAAATTAAGTGTGTATTGAAAATAACAGGATCCACATCATCAGTTCCCCCTACTTCCTTAAAATAAACAAAGGAGGTCTGTTTTTTATAAACATAATCAAAATAGCTTATATGCTTTATAAGTTGAAAACCTGAATATTCTTTATTCATGTTTTATAATAAATAACAACTTAAAATTTCAAAGAATAGGCCAGGCAGTGGTGGGGCATGCCTTTAACCCCAGCACTTGGGAGGCAGAGGTGAGAGGATCTTCGTTAGTTCCAGGCCAGCCTGGTTGACAAAGGGAGTTTCAGGACAGCTAGAACTGTTACACAGAGAAACCCTGTCTCAAAAAAGCAACAAAACAAAACAAAAACAAAAACAAACAAAGAATATTCATGAGAATGTTATTAAATGCTACATTAAACCAAAGCCAAGGCAAAAAAAGCTGAAGGTAAAATACCAACACAGAGCTTTATTGTCAATCTTTAATTTAAATCTTTTATTTTATTTAAATCTTCATTTATCTAAATCTTTCTATTTTAATAAGACCTTAAGATTTCCTTACTTCTTAGTTTGCTGATTATATACAAAAAAAGGCATTATTTGTTTTTAAAGACTATTTTTTAACTCAGTATCAACAATCTGCATTTATCAGAAACTGTGTATCTGCTTTACAATTACCTTTTCTGTGATAGGGAAGAGGAGTAACACTGCACACACTGGTCTTGGTACCATGCTGAGAAGTTCAGGCTCCATCCCGTACACATCAACAAACTGCCAGTTAGGATGCAGGCCTAACTGTTTGAGGAACTAGGAAAAGGAAGGCAGCAGAAGTTAAGTGGTAAAGGAAACCCTGCAGAATGTTAACAGGAAATGATGACAAGTACGTGCAGCATCTATAGAAAGCATATAGAAAGGACTGTGATCAAATATTACTGATGTTCAATAAGAATGAAGATGGCACTGTCAAAACACAGCATGCACACCATAAAGACACATAATCCTTATTGTCAGGTACACCACAGTCTGAGAGGTGAAAAAAACACAGGAAAGCAAGTCTACAATGAATAGGGTAGGACAAGAGCAATTTATATCACATAATAGTTAAAACTCATAACATATTAAACAAATCTGTTCTCAAAATCTATTACTTTGGTATTGAGTATGTTAGCCAGGACTTCACAAAGTACATACAAGTCACCTTAAGAACTTATTTCCAGCCTTTATTTTGCATCAATTAAATAATGAATTATTTTAGTGCATCAACAGTTTACCCTGATATCCAAAAATAACTCCTGGAGTTTAATGACAAAGAGCTAAGTATTTTATCAACAAGCAAAAAGTAACATGGCACACAGACACACATGCAGGCAAAATAAATAAATAAATAGATAGATAAATATATAAATAAATAAATAGAAATACAGATAAGAATCTCTCTAGGAAAAAAGTACATGGCATTTATTACATCACCTCTCCATCAAGCTGCAAGGTCTAGAACTACAGAGAAAGCAAGGGTCTCTCTACTATGTCCATTATTCACCACATTACTAGTAATTTCAGGGTTAGTAACGTTCACAGGCATACTTGAAAATATTTCCCTTTCCCTTCTTCATTTCCTCTGTTCTAGGCCATTCTTAATATTCAACCCTACCTAGAAACAAACAAACAAAAGATTTAAAAAAAGCCTCAGTGTTATCTTTTCTCATTGCTAAGGACGCATACCTGGCCAAACCAGGTATTGCTTGAACTGAAATGAATACACTTTAATAGATAACTTTGCCATCTGTATGATTGCATGCTACTTAAGCTTGTTCATGCTGAACTGTGGTGATATTTTATTTGTATGTTAATAAATAAACTTTGCAGCCGGGCGGTGGTGGCGCACGCCTTTAATCCCAGCACTCGGGAGGCAGAGCCAGGCGGATCTCTGTGAGTTCGAGGCCAGCCTGGGCTACCAAGTGAGCTCCAGGAAAGGCGCAAAGCTACGCAGAGAAACCCTGTCTCGAAAAATCAAAATAAATAAATAAATAAATAAATAAATAAATAAATAAATAAATAAATAAATAAACTTTGCCTGGAGATCAGAGGATACAGCCAGCCATAAACAAAAGTCAGGTAGTGGTAGCACATGCCCTTAATCCGATCACATGGCAAGCAGAGTCTCTGTGTGTTCAAGGACACACTAGGGAACAACCAAGCATGGTGACACACGCCTTTAATCCCAGTACCAACTGTAGAGAACTAGAGGCCTGTACAGACAGGCAGTGACAAGGAAGTGAGGTAGCTGGGCTAAGAGCCAATGAGAGGGCAGAACAGCAAGTCAATAAAAGCCTGGGTAGACAGGAAGTAGCTCTCTTGGGAAGCTACAGAGGCGTAGTGAGTTAAGGTTGGCTGGTGTCTCTCATTATTTCCCTGATCTCTACAGCTTTCACTCCTATATTTGGCTCTGTGTTTCTTATTTAATAAGACCGTTTAGAAATTCATCTATACAGAACATTCAATGTATACTCCTTTTTCTGCCAGTTAAAGAAGACTGGGACATTTAGCTCCTTATCTACAATGTGATGTTCATTAAATCAACTTTGCATATTACCCTGACAGGACTCACATCTGTGAAGCAGGCAGGCATGGGGAGTTCAGCAAACCTGGGACTCTACTTGGTGTGGGCTATCCATCCACCTCTCTTCTGATAACAAACTTGACAGCCATTTGTGTACTATACAAATACCCCTTTCAGGCTGGAGAGATGGCTCAGCGGTTAAGAGAACTGGCTGCTCTTCTAGAGGACCTGGGTTCAATTCCCAGCACCCACATGGCAGCTCACAACTGCCTATAACTACAATTCCAGGGGATCTGACACCCTCACACAGCCATACATGCAGGCAAAACACCAATGCACATAAAAATAAATAAATCATAAAAAAAAAAAACAACCAAATACCACTTTCTCTGAACAATGTACCTAGCAGCCTGTTAGCATGCACAGCTCACTCCAAAGAAAGGAAAGGACAATCCAGTCTGAACTGCTTTTGGGTACATGTGCAGTAAAGCAAACTGTGTACTTAAAGTGAACTTTTAGGGAGATTCCTCTATTTACTCTTTTATGTCCATGCGTAACTGGGCATGCATATTATTAAAATCAGATGCATTAGGGAAAGGATGTATATAGTGCAGAAATGATCATAACTTAAAATCTGTCAATTAAAATAGAGAACCACCCAAACTACATCCCTAGTAATTAAACTTCCCCTTCTCCTGAGCTTATAAAAGGAATTCACAAACAATTGGGACTCTGGAAGGACTTACTCATATGGCCTGCTGTTACCTCAACAGTGTACCTCACCTATCCCATCGTTTTATTTTAAATAAAAGTATTCCTGCTGTCTTTGTAAGTCCTTGTGCACTTATTTCAGTGCTTTGAAGAAGATGCCAAGAATCTGGAAAAACCAGGCTGTCCCCCAACTTGTAACATCTAATTGTAAGACCTAAAGAGGCTTAAATTTGTTAATTTTGATGCTCATAAAACCATACTAATATAAAGTTACACAACATGACACACATGACCCAGTAATTCCATGTGTGTAGTACAAAATAAAAAAACATTGTAACAAGAAAGCAACCTGGACAAAACTGCTCAGTTACTGTAAAGAGACTTCAATATAATCTTTATGTCAGCCAAAGCCAACAAAAACAGCGCCAAGCAAGACTCAACATCCAAAGGCAGCAACTGTAGTAATCAGACTGATCAGGAACAAGCTACGAACACAACGAAGATTAAATAGCACACTAGCCTAAATCATAAAAATTATTAAATCTTAACAAGAGTGACAATTTACCTTCTCTTTACTCCTGTCACTAAATAATATAACATAAAGAAACTCACTTCAATTACTACCTATTAAGTAGATTATATATATATATATATATATATATATATATATATATATATATATCCATCCTCTGGCTCCAGGATGCCAGGAGTCACTCACTGGAAACCATCACACAACACAAGGAATAAACAGTTTAAAAGCACTACAGCTGGGCATGGTGGCAGACAGCTGTCATGCCAGCGCTTGGGAGGCAGAGGCAGGCAGATCTCTGAGTTCAAGGCCAAGCTATTCTACACAGTGAGTTTCAAGAAGCCATGGATACACAATGCGACCCTGTCTTAAAAAACAGCAACAAAGCAATTATGAAAATGTCCTGTTTCTATACAAAACGAACACCAAAGTTGTATTTAAAATAACATATGAAAATTTCAAAAAGATAAATTTTCTAAAAGGTCAAGTACAATTAGTTGAACAGTGTACACAGACTTTTGCTTTTATTGTCTCTTTTTTTTAATGTGTTAATTTACAATAGTCAAATGTAATCAGTAAGTTACAAAATCTATAGGACTAGAACATATTTTAACTTAAATCTCCAAAACTAAGAGGAAACTCAAAATAATAGTCTTAAGAAAGAAACTCAGGACTAGGGGGAGCTCAGGAGGAAAAGTGGTTGCTTCCCTGTCATTTGAGGACTTGAGTTCCAGCCTTCAGAATCCACGAAAAGCTGGGCATGGTGAACACTCTTGAACGCCTCCACACCAACAACAGGACAGGCTAAGACAGGTGAATGCCTGGGCCTTGCTGGCCAGTGTAACCAAATTAGTGAGCTCCAGGTTAAAAAAAGGAAAAGGAGTAAGACAAAAATTAACTGTGCCCATGAAACGTTTTCACAAAGTAACGACATAAGAAATTGCCTGTATGTGCATTTGTAGAACTGTTACTGTTTGAATCGAGCAGGAATCGGATGTTTATAACTTCTAATATCAAACAGTCTTCTGTCTTTTCTAGTTTAAATACTGGACAATAAAGTAACAACAACAACAACAACAAAATTCTAACTGATCAGCTCACTGAAATTTCACAACTCTAAAATTTTGATCAAATTGAGAAACATAATTTATAAATTACAATATGCTGGAATAAAACAATTTTTAGTTTTAAAAGACTACCTGCTGGTAAAAGGAGATGCTATATAAGAAATCTAGGCAGTGTTGATACTATTTAAGTATACTACTATTGTTATGATATGACAATAAATTAGTAGTCCTAAAAATAACTTTTAGTTAACATTCTTTATGCTCTATCACAAATTTGTCACCAGATAAGGAATAGTTATCCAGGCACTGAGCACACAACTATAGTCCCAGCACTCAGGAGGCTGAGACAGGAGATCAACAATGCAGGGCCAGCTGACCTATACAGACTGACGCAGTCTCAAATAAATAAATAAATAAGTTTTCCCTTAAAAAACAAAAACAAAGTAAAAATCCACGGAGAAGAATCGGTTTCCTTTCAACTTTGTCCTAAAACTGCTTTCTCAAGTCCCATCCCCACGAGTCCTCGCCCACCCCACAACCCCCACCCCCTTCAACCCCCGCCCCTGACCTAGGGACAGTGGAGCTGAAGACAGCACAGGGAGGGCCTCAGCTTTTGAAGTGTGCAGCGACAACCACGCTGTCTCTGCTGCAGAGATCTACTTGGGACAGCCTTTGCCCCTGCTTGTTACTAGTTGATTAATGAGTGGAATTATGACATAATTACACTTGTCTAGCAACTGCTTCATATCACCACCAGTAACCAAAGACTAGCAGTGATTGTTATGCATGGAGCTAGGGAAATAAGTTAAATAAGAAATCGCAGCTCAGGAACTCCCAAAATGAATTTTAACAGACTGACTAAAAATAAAACAAGATCAAATTTCCTCAACCCAAGAATAGGGAATCACTGGAAATATTTTATGTGAAAGTTAAAAGAAAA